CTTTCTCCCCCGTGTATAATGGAAATGGTAGGGAAGGTGAGTGTCAGGATAACTGTGTGGATGGATAGATGGGATTAAGTTCCCTGAGAATAGCCCTCTTCTGGCCTGAAGTTCCTACTTAGTTATAGATACCTATCGAAATTGATTATTTTGTTTTGCTTCATTTAGCTTTTGGTTTGATCCAACCAGAGTAGCATGCCTATGCCTGTGTAAGAAGGTGCTGTTTCTTTCTCGTATAGTTGATGCTCTCTTGACATTTCTGCCTTGAGGTAATTTTGGATGTATGCTTATATTATGGCTAACTGAAATGTCTTTTGAGCCTCTGTAGGTACTGTATATCTTTATTTTTCCATATGTAGTTGAAATAGAGTGTACAAAAGGCTGGTTGTATACTGGGTAGGTAGGGTCATTGTTGTGTTTAGAAGATGTCACGTTACATAGATGCATCCATGAGATTAGGAACATAGATCACTTACAAAATGTAATAAATATTTTGTGTGCTAATAAATGCGTCTTAAAACCTGTGAACAGTAAGCTATAGTTAGTTGATATTTGCCACACTTTATACTGTGGATCTCAAACTCAACTGCCTTGTAACTTTGGCACATAGATAAGTGATAAAATGCCCGTGGGACTCTGCCCTTTCCAAAGGCCATGCTCTTATTTATTGCTGCGTGAAGATGTGGGCTTGAGGATTTTCTCTAAGGAGATAAAGAAATCTCATGTTTAATGTGAAATGCTGCCCTTTTTTAAATGTTGAAAATTGATGAGAAATGTTAATACTTAATAGGTGAAACAAAGTATATTGTTAAATGAATTTGGTGTAACCTTCCAGTTTGCAACCTGTGATCTCTCATCTTCCTTTCCCCTGAGCATCTGTTTCTAATTGAAAAGGAAGGACCACTCTCAGCCACATAGGCTTATTTAGGAGTCTTAAATTCAGGACTAAGTTGATTCCTTGGTACTTCTTGAAATAAGATGATTTAAGAGACATTTTTACTTTTTTTTTTTCCTCATAATTTGTTTAGTTTAGATTTCTTTGTGAGGTTTGCTTAAAGGTTCAGATAGTGGTTTCCTGTGTGTGCATGTCCTTCCATGTCTTTGTTTAGGTGCTGTCCACCATCCCCCATCCACCCATCCATCTATCCATCCATACATCCATACATCCATCCACCATCCATCCACCATCCATCCATCACCATCCATCATCCATCCATCCACCCACCCATCATCCAACCATCCACCATCCACCCACTCATCCATACATCCATCCACCATCCATCTATCCATCCATCCATCCATCCATCCATTCATCCGTCCATCCACCATCCATCCATCCACCATCTATCCATCCATCTACCATCCATCTCCATCCATCCATCATCCATCCACCATCCATCCACCATCTACCCACCCATCATCCAACCATCCACCATCCGCCCACCCATCCATACATCCATCCACCACCCATCATCCATCTATCCATCCATCCATCCGTTCATTCATCTGTCCATCCACCATCCATCCATTCATCCATCCATCTAACCATCCATCCAACCATCCATCCATCCATCCATCCATCCATCCATCCACCATCCATCCATCCACCATCCATCATCCATCCATCTGTCCATCCACCATCCATCCATCCACCATCCATCATCCATCCATTCATCCATCCATCCATCCATTCCAACCAACCATCCATCCATCCATCCATCCACCATCCATCCATCCGCTGTCCATCATCTGTCCATCTGTCCATCCACCATCCATCCATCTGCCATCCATCCATCCATCTATCCATCTACCATCCATCTACCATCCATCTGCCATCTATCTGCCATCTGCCATCCATCCACCATCCATCCATCATCCATCCATCTATCCATCCATCCATCCACCATCCGTCCACCATCCATCCACCATCCATCCACCATCCATCCACCATCCATCCATCATCCATCCATCCATCCATCCACCATCCGTCATCCATCCATCCATCCATCCACCCATCCATCCAGAGAGTCTGACTTGGAACTCACTAAGTAGGCTAGGCTGGTCCACCAGCAAGTCCCAGAAATCTGCCTGTCTCCAACTGAACAGTGCTCAGGTTATAAGCATGCACCACCACGTCTGGCTTTAATGTGGATCCTGGGGATTCAACTCAAATTCTTATGCTTGCAAAGCAAGCACTTTATAGACTATGCCTATCTCTCTTCATTCCCACATAGTAATTTTTATATCATTGAATTTATTAGTGTTTAATTTTCAAAGTAGTTCAAAATTAGATTCCTAAGCATTTTTCATCAGTTGTTGAAGTCAGTAAATAGATTCAGTACCTAGAAATAAAAACAGAAGCTTGTCTTGCCATATTGAATGAGTATTTAATTGATATGTTTGGGGTTCTGATTGGAAAACACTGGGAAAATATTTAAATGTAATTTTTAAAATGACCTTGACTAATAAAAGTGGAATGCCTTTTGCTAATTTGTTCTCAAATGTACAACCAGGTTGTTCAAAAGCAGAACAGCTTATCTTTGTACAACCCGCTCTTATGTTTGAGAGCTTCCTGCACCACGATTTGTGTGTTCAGTTTGCAGTTAATTTCATATTTTTACTTAGAACTTAATTTGTCTTCTGTAGTGGAATTTTTTTTCTCCTCAGCATTTCAAAGCTTTAATGAACTCTCTGAAGTTGTAGGATCATAGTTATGGGTTGCCAATAGAAGCTGGTGAATCCTCCCATTTGGTGGTGAAGAAACAGGAAAGCCAGAACAGTCATACAGTTACTGTTAGGATCGAGTATTCTGATTCTTAGCAAATTCCCTTTTTACCAAACTGTGCTTAGTGTATTCTCAGCAATACTAAGGGGTAGCTATACTCAGACTTGTGTTGTAATTATTATTTAATGTTGTGTGGATATTTCTTCTGAGTTTTTTTTTTTTTTTTTTTTTTTTTAATTTAACAAAATTAGAGGGAAGGCTCAGTGATTAAGAGCACTGGCTACTCTTGCAGAGGACCCAGGTTCAGTTCCCAGCACTCACATGGTGGCTAACAACCATCAGTAACTCCAGTTCCAAGGGATCCAATGCCCTCTTCAGACCTCTGTAGTCATTGCATGATGGATGCACTTACACACATGCAGGCAAAACACTCATACACATAAAATAAAAATAAATTTAGGGGACTGGAGAGATGGTTCAGTGGTTAAGAGCACTGGTGGTTCTTGTAGAAGACCTGGATTCATATCCCAGCACCCACATGGTGGTTAACAGCCATCCGTAACTCCAGTTCCAGGGGATCTGATGACCTCTTCTGTCCTCTGAGGGCATTGCATGACACACGTTCACTCACACATGCAGGCAATACACTCGTACACGTAAAAATAAAAATAAATAAATTTTAAAAATTTAAAAAAAGAAATTAAGTTTTTAATTTATCATTTACCTTTAGCTAAATTTCTAATGATTTTATTTTTAGAAAATAAAGTTTTTCCCTATAAAGAAATTAGATTTTTGTTGCAGCAAAAGATTGTAAGGTATATAGAAGATACTGTACAGAAGATGTATGGTAGTTCTGTTAATAAGCAATAAGCAGTTTCATAATTTAGACAGTTTTGTGTAGTGTCTGAGAAAGAGAAAATGTGTTTTTAAAAGGAAACATCGTCTGAGTAGACTTCTGAAAGAATATGTTTTCAGTGTTTTGATGATTATGTTATTATACACCCCCCCCCACTATTACGTGCCCATGGTGTGAAATATTTATAGACCTTAGATGAACTGAAAAACTAGGTGTGGTGTTCCATTCTGTGATCCCAGCACTTGGGAGACTGGATGGTCATGAAGATCAAGACAGCTCAAGCTACATAGGGAGACCCTATTTCTAAAGATTAAAAACAAGTAAAAAAGGAAAACCCAGAGTATATTTTATTACTGTGATTAAACCACCTTGGTATCATTTAGACATTTAGGTTTCTGTTCAGATTCATTTTGAAGTGGATATCTGGGCAAGAGATGGTTTAGTAGTTAAGAGCACATGTTGTTCTTGCACAGGACTGGACTTTGGCCCCTAGCACCCATGTTGGGCAGTTCACAACCACTTGTAACTTTACGGGGTCTGATGCCTCTTACCTCCGCAAGCACCTTTATTCACATGCAGGTACCTACACACAGACCCATATATAAATACATAATTAAATTTTTATTTTAAACAATGGGTTTCTGAGCTGGGGAGATGGTTCACTGGGCAAAGTGCTTGCTGTGTAACCATATAGACTTGAATTCGGATTTTTGACACCCATGTCAAATCTGGGCAAAGAGTTGTGCGCCTGTAATCCTAATCCTGGGGGGCAAAAATCCCTGTGGCTCACTGTTAGCTAGTGTAGTGGAAACAGAGAGTTTCAGCCTCAGTGAGGGACCCTGTCTCCAAAAGGTAAGGTGGAGAGCAATAGGGGAAGAAAGCCAAAGTCAGCCGCTGGCCTACATGCATACATACACCTGTGTACGTGTACACACACACACACACACACACACACACACACAAACACACACAGAGACTTAAGTGGATTTCCTAGAATGTACTAACTTTTGTCTGCCTTGCTGTAACGAATGTATTGAGTGCTCTGATTTAACTTTTGTTAGTAGAGTCACTTAAAAAAAAAAAACAAAAAACTGATCTTTTTTAAAAAAAAAAAAAAAACCTCATCTTAAAAATAGTATTATACTGTGGCTGTTCAAAGGGTATTGTGAATAGAATCGACTTACCACTTTACAAAGAGGGTTTTTTTTTTTTTTTTTGTAATTTCTGGTTACTGTTGAGGAAGTACTATTAAATGGGTTAAATACTGGTAGCATTTAAAAATCTGATTTTTAAATGAATTCTCTTTAAAGTGAAATTATATTTCATTGGCATTTTTTGTAAGATTCTTTAATTCATTTGTCATGTCTTTTTATGTATGGTTTTCATATTCATTAACATATGTGTCCTTGCCATTTACAGCTCAGAATTCTGCAAATGCAGATTTTGCAAACTTTGATGCGTTTGGACAGTCTAGTGGTTCGAGTAATTTTGGAGGTTTCCCCACAGCAAGTCAGTCTCCTTTTCAGCCCCAAACTACAGGTAGAGCCTCTCCAGCATTGTGTTTAATGTCTACTTGAAAAAACAAAACTAAGTGTGGTTTTTGAAAAATTAAATTCTGTAATTACCTCATTTTAAAACAGTTCTACTCCACAATGCTCTGGGGAAACCTGAAACCTTTATGTTGTGATGCCTTCATTTGCTTTCTGAACTCTTGGGTAGTCTGTCTGATCTCAGCCCCCATTCTCCTCTTCCTGCACATGAATCTTCCTTCAGTTCCCCTCACACTGAGGTATGAAAGTGCTCAGAGCTGTTGAGGTTCATGGAGTACTGTGTCAGAACAAAGGAAGCCAGTTGATTGCTTTCACAGAAATAAAGATGGAAGTAATTTTAAATGCAGCAAGCCTAAAAAAATTGAAACATTATTTAGTCAAGAGTAAATATTAATGACCACTTTAATGAAATCCGGAAATAGTTTTCTGTGCAGGAATTGGTCCTCAGGCATTGACAGCTCTGCCATGAGCTATACTGTTTGCAGAAATCCACTGCGCCCTTGTTTAGGTCTTTTGCTGATTGTTTCTCTTTCAGCTTTTAACTCTGTCTGTATTGTCTTACAAACTTTGCTTTCAGTTTTCTTTTCCTCCCTTTCCTCTTCATCATTTACATAATTTCTGCCTGTTCAGCATTTAGAGTGCTTTCCTCTAGCTGCAGCTTTGGTGAATTTACTTCAGCCCTTCCTCTCCAGGCTGCCCACAGTAATTCTGTTGTCCATCAGGCTGCTTTATTCATTTATGTGTTTGTGTTATATTTCATGTTCTTTTCAAGTGTAGATCATTAGTCATTTTTAATGATAACCTTCATAAATTTACACTTTCCCTTCTCTAGTACTAAACTCAGAGTTCAAAACAGAATAGTTTTTAGTAAAAATTAGTTTAATAATTTGAAATAAAATATTTCATAAATTTATAAATTTAGTATTTACTTTGGCAGCTACTTGTAGTCAGTCATGTCTTTTACAATTAGTTTAACTGATTAAAAAAATTTTTTTTAAATGTTTTGTTTTTTTTTTTGGTTTGAGACAGGGTCTCCCTGTAGCCCCAGCAGGCCTGGAACTAGCTATATAGGCAAGGCTGGCCTTGATCTCAAAGAGATTGGCCTGCCTCTGCCGCCCAAGTGCTGGGATTAAAGGCGTTTGCCACCATGCTCAGCTTAAAAATTAGGTTTTAAAATGGAGTCTTACTGTGTTGCCCAGGCTGACCTTGAGCTGGAGGCCCTTCTAGCCCAGCCTTCTGAATTGATGGGGCTGTATACTTGTGTCACCATGTCTGCTTTTCTTAGTTTTAATTAAAGCTACCAGAGTTTAATTCTTGAAAAAAGATTTATCAGTATGTATTTGTTTTAGAATGTCAAAGAATAATTGATGAAAGCAGGTCTTTTGCATAGGTTTTCATCCATTCTGTTTTAAGAATTACCTGTATACTTTGCTATTACCTGTATCTGTATGATGTTATTTTGGCAGGTTAGGAAAAAAAGAGCTAATATCTCAGTGTAGAATCAGAAGTATAGAATGAAATGCACTGGCTTTAGTCTTTCTTATCTCTGGGAAGGTCTCTCAAATGGAGGGCATGTTTTATATTCTTAGTCAATATGTCATATTGACTGTTGAGTAAATTATGCTTTACGAAGCCAAAATTTTCCTATTATGTGCTATAATAGTTCTACTTTGGAATACATGTAGTATGATTTATTTTACTGTGACTGTCACAATGTTGAGCACACATTAAATTGCTATGTAGAATTGAGTAGTGGTCTTCAAGGGAAAAAGTCAAAAACTCAAGGTCATCTTTGATAGAATTCTTGATCCTCTCTCTCTGTCTCTGTCTCTGTCTGTCTGTCTGTCTCTCTTTCTCTCTGCAGATTCTCACTGTGTATAGTCTCAGTTGACCAGAAACTCTGTGTAGAATGGACTGGCCTTGAACTCACCCTGCCTCCCGAGTGCTGGGAGTGTGGGCCACCACACCCAGACAATCATAATTTTAAATAATTTTAAACTTATTCATAGTCTGTTGGAGAACTAGTAAATGCTCCTACTGTATAGCTGGCAGTTTGAACCAGATATCATGAACTCATTTTACCCATGAGTTGGGTTGTTCACTCTAGGGTAGATGCCATCAGTGTTGTCAGGGCCTTGGAAAATTTAGTTTTATAACTTATAAAAGTTAGGTGTAGATGGTTGTCATTTACTAGTCACTGATTTTTCAGAATATATCATTAGAAGATCATATATAAGAATGTCCTATAATGCTTATAGAACACATACCTTAGGAAGAAATAATCAAATAATCTACCAGAAAGTATTGGGTAATGTCTAGAAATTTCATGTGTCCTGTTTATTCTGTTACAGGTGGAGGTGCTGGATCAGTAAATGCTAATTTTGCTCATTTTGATAACTTCCCTAAATCCTCCAGTGCTGATTTTGGAACCTTCAATACTTCCCAGAGTCATCAGACAGCATCAACTGTTAGTAAAGTTTCAACAAACAAAGCTGGTTTACAGACAGCAGACAAATACGCGGCACTTGCTAATTTAGACAATATCTTCAGTGCTGGGCAAGGTATCAACATGTAAACAAAGCAGATACTGATGGGTCTAAGCTAAATATAGTAAAACCCGAGGAGACTGCACTTTTCTCAGCTGTAGAGAGTTTGTGTACAGTGTGTTCATTTGGCACTTTGCACCTGAAATAGCAAAGATAAAACTGAAGACGTGCAAATTAGTGTATAAACAAGAATTTTCAAAAGAAAGTCATTGATAATAATTGTATTTTGTCTTTAAAAGCATGCTTTACTGTTCTGTGGCTGCAAAAGGCAATACATTTCATTAACACAGCTGACTAAAGTGTTACTTTGTGGTTTCAATTACCAGGTTTATTTTGAACTATTTTCATTAATATTTTTGGCCTTTTTCTTTTTTTTTTCCTACTTTTATTGAATTTTTGCAAATTTCATACAGTATATTTTGATCATACTTAGACCTCTTCCCCTATATCCCTGTCCCCACAGCCCTCTGACTGGATTTCATGGATTCTGTCATGCATGTTAAGGCTTATCAAATCACGTTTGTATCCCCAAATGTCCCTCAGTGTGAGTCCATCCACTGGAGCCTTGTCAGCCTACTTAGCATCTCTCTGAAGAAAATGAGCTCTCTCTATACAAGTAGTCATTGGCTATTTTGGCATTTTTGATCCATTATTTTCTAATATGTGGCTTTCTTACTAGATTAAGAGTGCAGAATGCTATCCATTTAACTTTCTAGATCCAAGTCAGTTTTTTTTTTTGTCTGTGTTTCATGGCAAATAGGATTGATAAATTGACAGTATGACATTAAGTCTGGTATAACTTTTTTGTTTTTCTCCTCCCAGGAGGTGATCAAGGGAGTGGTTTTGGGGCCACAGGTAAAGCTCCTGTCGGTTCTGTGGTTTCAGTTCCCAGTCACTCGAGTGCATCTTCAGACAAGTATGCAGCCCTGGCAGAGCTGGACAGCGTTTTCAGTTCTGCAGCGACCTCCAGCAACGCATACACCTCCACAAGCAATGCTAGCAGGTACTGGGCCGTAGAATTCCTGCCCTCTGCTGACCTTTTAATTGTTTCCAAGTTTGAAATGTAGAAAGTGACTCTTTAGGGGATATAATTTAAAAATAATTGAGTAGTTTTTAAATCTTAAGAAATTGAGTTTAACTTGCTATTTAAAATATAATTTGTGGCCTGGAGTGATGGCTTAGCGGTTGGAAGCACTGGCTGCTCTTGCAGAGGACCCTTGACAATTCCCAGCACCCACATGGTGGCTAACAACCATCCATCCGTAACTCCAGTTCTAGGGGATTTGTTACTCTCTTCTGACCTTCCTGGGCATTGCACAACATGGGTGCACTTACATACATGTGGGCAGTACACTCATACACTTGAGTAAAATATTGGAAATAAAATATAATTCGTGAGTTCATTTGCCATAGTTCTTTTATCAGATCTTAGAAGTTTTATTCCTTGCCGTCCTTGAATGCCAAAATGTACTTGAAGGAGTATTTTTTTTTTTTTTTAATGGATGGTTACATACAGATTGTACTCAACAGATAATCCGTTTAACAGCCAAATCACATACTCAGGGCACAGTTTTTAATCATGAAGACTAAACAAGAAAAGGAGACCATGTTTTTAGTCTTAGTTTTTAGGTCTGTTTGTACCAAAATTTAGTATCATCACTTTTCTATCTCTTCATTGTCATTCAGTATGCACTGCTGTGTTTAGACAGATCTGATAGAAAGGAGTTCTCAAAAATAGGTGGTCCAAACATTAGCCTTGTTTTCTAAGATAAGGTCCTGTATCCAGGTCAGCCTTGGGCTAATCCTGTGCCTCTCTTCTGAGTGCTGGTCTTACAGGCATGTGCTGTCATACTCCAAAGAGCATTGGACTTTTAATACCTCTTCATTTAAGATTTGTGGGGACAGAACCAAAAGAATGTGCACTGTTTTAGTCATCTCTTGTTTTCATTACTGAGAATTGTATCTGCTTTATTTTTATTAATAATAATAATTATTGTATAGTTTATTTCCCTCTGGCACTGTCCTAGAGAGAAATAGTAATATTACCTACTTGAACTCCTTGGTGATAAATTTTCTGTATGCCACACAGGACAGATTGAATCCAAAGAATAAAATTTAGATTTTTTTGTTTGTTTGTTTCATTACTGTTGTCTCCATTAGAGTTTTAATAATGAATAGTAACAAGGTGTCCATAAGCCTGGAGATGTGTTCCTAGAACTTTGGTTTATTGATGTTACGTTATGACATATCAGTGGTTTGCAAGTATAATCTATAGAATGTTTGAGGTACCTTAGGTCTTTTTAGGGGTTCTGTGAGGTCAGAACCCTTTTCATAATAATTTCAAAATGTTACTTGATTTTTCACTAATTAATACTTGTGTTGGTGGTATGACAAGGAAAAAAATAAACATTAAAAAAAAGGCAGAAAAATCATGCTGGTACTAGCAGATGTTAAGCTAATGTCATCAGCCTCTATTTGTGGTCATCCAGTAGTCATTATATTTCTCCATCACACACTTCTATTTCTGATTTTTTTTTTTTTAAAAAACAGGGTCTCATGTTGCCTGGCCTGGCCTTGAATTTCTGATTCTTGCCTTAGCCTCTTAAGTTGCAGTGCCACCATTCCCAGCTTTGCCTTACAAATACTGTTGATTAGTTTTTCTTAGGAATATTTTTGGTGAAGCTGCAACATATTTTAACTTTATTATATCTTTACCTTTAGATATATCTTTTTAATTTTTTGTTCTTTTTCTCTTTTGAGATTGGGGGGGGGGGGGGGTCTCCCTGTAGTCACAGCTGGCCTTAATCTCACAGAAATCTGCCTGTCTCTGCCTCTAGGATTCTGAGATTAAAGGCATGTGCTATCATACCCAGCTTTATCTCATAAATTTTTTTTTGTTTAAGACATGCATCAAGTAGTTTTTGTGCATTATAAAGCATTCAGTTCTCTTGAGAGATTACCTGTGCAGTTGTTTTGACTTTTGGGATGAACTAGTCTCTTATTTTATGGCTGTTTGAATTTGAGTATCTTTCAGGTATCTTCACAGAAAGATACTAAGATAATGACTTTAAAGAATACTCCTTAGGCTAGGGATGTAGCTCAGTTGGTAGAGTACTTACCCAGCATGCACGAAGCCCTGCATTCAGTCCCAAAGTTCACATAAATGGGACATGGTGGTGTTCACCTTTGCTACCAGCACTCTGGAGGCAGAGGCAGAAGGATCAGACGTTCAGTGTCAGCCTAACAAAACAAATTCTAGGCCAGTAAAATAAAAAAAATATGCCAGGCATGGTGGCGCACGCCTTTAATCCCAGTACTTGGGAGGCAGAGGCAGGCAGATGTCTGGGAGGTCAAGGCCAGCCTGGTCCACATAGTGAGTTCCAGCACAGCTGGGGCTACAAGGAGACCCTGTCTCAAAAAGACCGGAAAAAAAAAAAAAAATTTACATGAAATTGATGACTTCAAGCAAATACTAGAATTGTGGGAAAAGTAGACATTCTACCATGAACTTGACAGCTTCCCAGTACTCTGATAAGATGGCTTGGGATATTAATAAAAGGGATCTTTGAATGTTGCATGCAAAAATGTGTCAGTATGTAGAAGATTGTCACAATTCATTGAACAAGTATTTTCTTCTAAATTTCGTTAAATAACCAACACATGATAGCAAATTGGTAAGAGAATCATTTAAAGTGTAAGAGCTAGTAAATTTAGTGGCGTGAAAAAAGTTCATTGATGGGGTCTCTCAGAGTCCACATTTCAGTGAATTTTTAGGAGCCATTTGTTTTGGTGTGATATTAAAGTATGTACAGTTTTCTGATAAGACTATTAAAATACTCTTGTTTTTGCTCACGTGTGTAGGGCCACAAGTTTATCATATACTTCAAACAAATGGTAATATATTGACTTCTGTAAGATAGCCATTACATGGATTTATAAACATATAAAACAGTTTGGTTCTTTTTGCTTTGAAAATAGTTTTTAAAAATTATATTTATGCTATTGTGCAATGGATTTATTACCTTTAAATCAAGGAAGGTTTTTCTGGTTTTGGATCAAATCCAATCTAAGGTATATATTTTTAAATTCTCAATTTTGACAACTGTAGGATACAGATTGACAAATGTGGTATACATATCTGTACCTGTCTGTCACTGGAGTCTCAATAATGTTTCAGAATATGAACAAACACATCTTGAGATTTACAGTTTGAGAACTGTAGCGATAAATGGAGTGGTTGGCTTTATCTGTTTCATATTTTGTTGCTTATGTGTTGCTGTTACATATTTTGTTGACCTTATTTATTTATTGAATGTTGACTGGATTTTTTTCAGCAGTGTCTTTGGAACAGTGCCTGTGGGTGCATCTGCACAGACACAACCTTCTTCAAGTGTGCCTGCTCCATTTGGGGGTATGTACTTCTGATGTATTTATATGTATACATACACACATATGTATATAATGTAGTGTTTTCCTAGGGATACTGGAAGGCAGAGCAGTGTTCTGTTATCAAGAGGTTCGCATTTCTGTCTTCATAAATGTAGTGAACAAATATCTTAAATCTTGAATACAAAATGTGTTGGGATTTCACAGTAAATTTTATACTTTTTTCAAGCTACACCTTCTACAAATCCATTCGTTGCTGCTGGTGGTCCTTCTGTGGCATCTTCTACAAATCCATTTCAGACCAATGCCAGAGGAGCAGCAGGTAAGATAAAAGACAGACTAAGGAACCATAGCTTTGGGAGGAAAGGAATTTATTATTGTAAAGCACACCAAAAGAGTGAGGCCTTTTCTTACTGAATGGTGGTGGTGCCTGAGAAATGGGTAGATGAGTTGTCCAGAAACACAGATGCCAGCTGGGCGTGGAGGAGTTAGCTGATCATCCCAGTGCTTGGGAGGTTGAGGCAGGAGAATAATGAGTTTGAAACTAACTGGGGCCATAGGGAGGCCTTGCCTCACAAAAAGACAGGCCATTGGAAGTTCATAAAATGTTGAAATTTGCCAGACATGGTGGCGCACGCCTTTAATCTCAGCACTTGGGAGCCAGAGACAGGTGGATCTCTGTGAAATTAAGGCCAGCCTGGTCTACATAATGAGTTCCAGGCCAACTGGGACTAGAAGGAGACCCTGTCTCAAAACACACAAAAAATTTCAAATTTGACAGCCACAAAGGTCCTAAGGAATTATATTGTCTGCCCTCGTGGTCAGACTTTGATTTTGTTTTTCAGATAGGGAAGCTCATATGTGGGCAGGAACTCAGTTAAGAAAACTAGTTTGACTTATTTGTGGTCTGGTACCAAAATGGCAGTCAGTCATTCAGTCCTAATAAAACATCTCCTGGGGCTGAAGAGATGGCTCAGTGATTAGGGACACAGGCTGCTCTTGCAGAGGACCTGCCCGGTTCCTAGCACCCACATGGTGGTTAATAATTGTCTGCAACTCCAGTCCCAGGGGATCTGACACCCTCTTCTGGATTCCACAGGCATTGCACAACATGGATGTACATAAATACATGCAGGCAAGATACTCATACACATAAAAGTAAATAAATAATTAAAATTAAAAGCATAAGAAGTACCACCCCTGTGAGATAGCCTGTTACATCAATTCTAATTAAATTTCTCTAGTGCGTCTTTTTCAAGGAGTTTTCATTTTTTATTTTTTATGAGGTGTCCTGCATGCTAAGCAAGCACTTTGCCAACTAAGCCGTCTTCTGTAGCCCTCCCCAGTTGTAGGAACCTGATTCATTTGGGATTTAGTACTTGAGGATTTTCTCTTCGACACTTGCTTGTGAACTCTCTAGCCGCATGGTTTGCGTCTCTTCGTCCCTGAGCCAGCCCTGTCTTCCTCATTGTACTTATGGTTGTCTCACTGCCCCGAGCTCTCCTATCATCATGTTGGCGAGTGTGGGGTGTGTCTAGGTCTTCCTTAATCTGGTTTGTGAGCTTTGTTTGTGTATTGATTTATTTTTTAGTTCAGTTTTATTTTATGTGTATGAGTGCTATGCTTGTGTGTGTGTAGGTACACTCATGTTATGCAGTGCCCAGGAAAATCAGAAGAGGGTGTTAGATTCCCTGGAACTGGAGTTATGGACGGTTGTTAGCTGCCATGTGGGTGCTGGAATTCCAACCTGGGTCTTTTGTGAGAGCGCTCAGTGCTCTTAAGCACTAGGCCATCTCTCCAGCCCCAACCTTTGTTTTTGTGTGTGTAGCTGTGGTGGTTTGAATGAAAATGTCCCCCATAGGCTCCAAGTATTTGGACATTTTGTCCCCAGATGATGGTTCTGTTTTGGGAGGTCTTAGAAGGTGTGGCTATCCTGGAGGAAGCACGTCACTGGGGTGGGCTTAGAGAGTTCTTAAGCCTTGCCGAATCCCTAGTCACTCTCTTGCTCCCTGTGCCTGCTGGAAGATGTAGAGCCTAGCTTCCACTTCTGCTCCAGCCACTTCAGCCACCATGCCTCCCCACCAAGATGGACTGTAATTCCCCTGGAACTGTAAGCTCAGATAAACTCTCCCTTCATAGACTGCTTTGATGATTGTTCCTATCACAGCAACAGAAAAGTGACTAATGCAGTGGCTCAGTGATCTTAGAACTGCAGCTTTAGCTCCAGCTACGGACAATGTTGATATGAAACTCGGAGAGTGTATAATAGTAACGTGAATGTTTTATCACTGGCAAGACCAACATTGGTGACCGTGGAGCATGCATGGTCGTGCAAGCCTGTGTGCCTAACTCTGAAAGGCTGAGGCAGAAGAGTCATGACTTGGAGGCTAGTCTGGGCAACAATAGGGAAAACCTTTCTAAAGAAACAAAAGTTAAGAATTGTGGTACCAGGAATTTTAATAACTATTATTTCTATTTTACATAAATGCCTTTATTCATAATTTATTGGCATCTAACATAATAACTATTTAATAAATATTTGAACTTCATATCAGATATAATTATTGTTTTTAATGATTTGTTTGGGGGCTTTGAGGTGACTCAGTGGGTAAAAATGCTTGCTGTCAAGCCCTGATTACCTGAGTTTGATCACCCCATCCTTCATGGTAGGAGAAAACTGACTCCTTGAAGTTGTCCTCTGGCCTCCTTGACACATGCATGTATGTTCATGTACCACACACACACACACACACACACACACACACGAAACTAATATTTTTAAATGTACAGAAAGTTTAGTTCAGCAATTCTGAACAGTACTAGTTTTAATTTCGAACTTTCTTTGGTCAGTCACTGTTACTGAGGTACACCTAATGACTGCCTTAGGTTTTTGATTTTAAAATAGATGAGGTATATGTAAATTTCAGCTTCTTAGCTTACTGTTTTGACTTAGTAGGATGAATTTGTAAAAAGATTCTAACAGGCTTTTGTACATTGCCTCATTGAATCTTTGCACCTGTCATCAAATAAATGTCTGAACTGAATCTCGGAAGAAGTTGGTATATTTTGTGTGCAGTCAGCCAAACTCGCGTTTGAATTTAGAAATTCTGAGAACATTTTGTATTTCATTATTGTAATGTATGGGATAAAGATGTTGCCAGGTGAGTAGCCCACACCTTTAATCCTAACACTCGAGAGGCAAAGACAGGCAGATCTCTAAGATCGAGGCCAGTTTGAAGTTCTCAAAAAGGCAAAAAAAGATGTGAATGGAGACGCACTGATATTTGCTGTGTTTTACTTCTCTACAAGGTGTTGTTGGGTTCATAGATGACATAGCCCTATTTAATAACTGAAGAACAGAAACCCTAACCTTACCTTGTCTGGGATTGTGCTACCTGCCTCCGAGCCTTGATGCTGTGCTTGTTGATGCAGAGTGAGCCATATTCTCTCTTTGGCAAGGTTGTTTGAATTCAAATGCTGCAAGTCACCCTGTGTTTGCTTTTTGCTGTGTACTTGATCAATCATACTTAGTATTTTCTTTTCACCTAGGCCTCTGAGGTGGTTCTGTTATCACAGTTAGTGGGTCTTCCTTCCTTCCTCCTTCCTCCTTCCTTCCTCCTCCTTCCTTCCTTCCTCCTTCCTCCTTCCTTCCTCCTCCTTCCTTCCTTCCTTCCTTCCTTCCTTCCTTCCTTCCTTCCTCCTTCCTTCCTTCCTTCCTTCTTCCTCCTTCCTTCCTTCTTCTTTCTCCCTCCCTCCTTCCTCCTTCCTTCTTTCCTCCCTCCCCCCCTCCCTCCCTCCCTCCCTTCCTCCCCTCCCTCCTCTCCTTTCTTCCTTCTTTCCTCCATTTCTTCCT